TTGTGAACTTCGTAAGTCTATTTTTAACTTCTGATAACATGAAACTAATTAGTGCATATGAATGGGCACCACATATTTCACACCTGTGAGTAGTTTTTCACTGTGTATAAATATTCAATGTGGATTAAATAAAATCTCCAAGGCTCCTCCCCACTTGGTATTTTCCTGTTCAGATGAATAGCATTCGCAGAGATCAAGGGCATCTATTGGTGGTTCCTGCAGAGGGCGCCAAATGCAAGCCAATAGCTCCCTCTTGGCTTGCTTGCCACTTCCCTCTATTGCAGTAAGATGTTTGCTCTCTTGTCCTCTTACCAGAAGTACAACTCCAGTAATCTCTTGCTAAGTTCCAAACTTAGCAGGCTAAAGCAGCCACCATTTTATCTCTCTACCCTCCCTAAACCCCACCCTGCCTCACTATTCTTTTCATCTCATCTTCTGCCACTCTGCCTTGTGATCCTGGGGTCTTTGCAGTGGAATATGACTATCACATGTGACCCCACTGTTCACCTCCAAAGTCCTTACAAGGTTATCACTTAAACAAGTTGGCAAGTGGGTAGTGAAGCATCCTGAGCTGGTTCAGAGAATCTTAGTGACAGACTAGATGCTTGGATGTCAGCCTGGGAGACTGAGAAGACCTTTGTTACTGATAGAAGCATCAAAACTAGTTAAGTACTAAGCCCAGCCACTGGTGCATGGCTTACCACTGGATTTTTTGTTTTGTTTTTGTTTTTTGTCGGTCATGGGGCCTGAACTCTGGGCCTGGCCACTGTCCCTCAGCTCTTCTCCTCAAGGCTAGCGCTCTACCACTTGAGCCACAGCACCACTTCCAACTTTTTCTACTTATATGGTGCTGAGGAATCGAACCCAGGGCCTCATGCATGCAAGGCAAACACTCTACCACTGAGCCACCTTCCCAGCCCTACTACTGGACTTTTGAGAGCTAATAAATATCACTGTGAGGTGGAATCTGGACTGGCAAAGCCTCATATTCTTATGAACTCTATTGATGAAGATTCTGCCATATTTTCAGCCATGCCATGATATATACATATATATATATAATTTATATTTAAATATGTATATTTAATATACAAATATACTAAATATGTTTATATATTTAATTATATATATGTATATATACATACACACATATATATAGGCACTGTTGGCTCATGCCTGCAATCCTATAGCTAATCAGGAGGCTGAAATTTGAGGACTGTGATTTGAAGCCAGCCTGGGCAGGAAAAGTCAGTGAGACTTAATCTCCAATTAACTACCAAAAAAAGTGAAAAGTAGAGCTGTGCTCAAGTGGTAGAGCATTAACTTTGAGCAAAAAAGCTCATGGACAGTATCCAGGCTCTTGAGTTCAAACACCAGGACCAGTATGCACATGCACATATGTGCATGCATGCATGCATGCACACATACATACAAACACATACACACACACATACATACATACATGGGCCAGACTGAGGGCCAGAAGAGCCCCAGTGGCCCTGCCATTTATCAGACATTTATCAGTGCTACTGAGAAGGCTAGCCACAGTGTTAATGAAGCACAAGGCCTCTCTATGAGAGTGCCTCAGTTGTAAACTATTCTAGCAGCTTCTTTCTCTTAGTGATTACTGTGCTTTTTCCAATACCACCCCCCAGCCTTGCTTTGCTACTCTCCGCCCCTTGAAACCACTCATTGGAAAATTCTGACTACAAACCTAGGCTGCTCAGTCTCTGCACTTGGAAACTCAGTAAGAATAATTAGTACGAATATGGCAGTCTCCTTTTGCATGGAAAACCTGGGCATGAGAGTCACTGGCACACAAAGAAGCCATCTCCTAGTTCTAGCCTAGATGCAGAAGTCCTGATAGGGGTTTTCAGACAACCACCCTCCAGACTTACCTCAGCTCCAAGTCTCCAGAAAATCAGGTTCTGGGGCTATGTGTAGCTGGGTGCTACATCACCCCTTCTAATGCTCTAATACTTGCTGCTCCCTTCCCATTCTGCTTAGACTCCTTCCTTCTCCAGATCCCTCATAGTCTTGGTTTCCTCAGTTTGATGAGATACTGCGGTTCCTCTGATGTTTGCTATTCCTACAACCGGGGAAATCTGTTCTTCCTCCCCACCCCCGCCATGGGGGGAGGTAGGAGAGATTCAGGATTCATCAGATGGCAACCACACAGCAGAGTGTGAGAACCCCAGTTCCTTTACTACCTTAAATAAAGGCTGCAGTCGAAAATGCTGTAAGAGTGAGCTCACGTAGCCAACCTCAAGGAAAAATAGTCCCAGGTCTCCAAAGATTTATTTAGGCTGAGCCACTGTATAATAACAGTGACATAGATGAAACCCAATACTGCCTAAACACTGTTAGCAGTTTTTTGATTTTGTTGGTCATAGGGCTTGAACTCTGGGACTGGGTGGTGTCCCTGAGCTCTTCAGCTCAAGGCAAGCGCTCTACCACCTGAGCTACAGCACCTCTTCTGGTTTTGAGGGATGTATTGGAGATAGAATCTCCTGGACATTGCTGCCTGGGCTGGCTTTGAACTGCGATCCTCAGATCTCGGCCTCCTGAGTAGCTAGAATTAAGGTGTGAGCCACCGGCGCCCGACTCTGTTAGCAGTTTTAATCATAGGATCACTGTAGTTCACCACAACCTTGCAATAAGGCACCATTCATTAGTCCCTGTTTATAGTTGAGAAAACAGAGCGCCAAATAAATTAAGCAAACTAGGCAGGGCAATTAAACAGCAAAGTTCAGGGTACCGTTGTAACCTGAAACTGCAGCCATCAGCTCGTGATCGTGAGACTCGTTAACAGAAGAGGTAAAAGCAGCTGTGGGGATAACCGAGCAATGGGGCACTTGATGGAGCCACACCCGATATCTACTAACCACCGGGTGTTTTTGTTGCTGTTGTTTTTGCTGGTCCTTGGCTTGAACTCAGGGCCTGAGCACTGTCCCTGAGCTGCTTTTTTCTCAAGGTTAGTGCTCTACCACTTGAGCCACAGCTCCACTTCTGGTTTTTCAGTGATTAATAGGCGATGAGTCTTACAATTTCCTGCCCTGGCTGGCTTTGAACCATGATCCTCCAGATCTCAGCCTCCTGAGTGCGCCACGAGTACCTGGCCTTTTTTGGTAATTAATTGGATATAAAAGCCTCAGGGACTTTCCTGCAGGGGCTAGCTTTGAACTGTGATCCTCAGCTCTCAGCCTCTTGAGAAGCTAGGATTACAGACGTGAGCCACTGGTGCCACTGAGCCCCTGGACTTTTGAGAACTGATAAATTACCACTATGAGGTGGTATCTGGACCAGCAAAGGTTCACATTCTTATTAACTGTATTGATGAAGATTCTACCATATTTTCAGCCATGCCATGTGCCAGCCCTGATCAGGAGCAGCTGAGAGAAGCTCCCAGCATTTCTCAGGAGTGCTCTGTCAGAGGTAGAGGGCAAAGGCCACGCCCACAAGCTGTCAGACTTGGAAAGCTTGTTAGACATTAACCCCTGTCTAAAGTCTCTTTCAGGAGAGGAAACTTAGATTATGAGAAACAATGTACTGAGTTTGAACTCAGGTATTTGGACTTTCCTTTAAGTATTTTTACCTCTACACTGAGGCCCTCAGTTTCCTACTGGCCAGAGATCATCTTGGGGAACACTTACACAGAACAGCTGCGCTCCTGGTTCTATCCTATGGATGTCTGGCCTGCTTACAGGTAGGGTTCCTCCATCTGTGTGTCATGGAGTTAGCTTTCCAAGGCAGGGCTGAAGGAGTGGGGGGACCCTCGTCTTCCCCAATTCTCTGTTTTCCGTGTCACAGTACCAGAGGAGCAGGGTTAGTGTTATTAGTAATATTAATTATTATACATTCATTAAGCTTATAACTTTGAATCCATTCATATCCTGAGCCTTTCAAAACCTTTCTTTGTTGGCATAGCAGGAGACAGGCCCACTCCGAGTACTCTGGGTCTAGAGATGAGTAGACACTCAAATGCTATATGACACACAAATGCCTAAACATTCATATTATCATCAACTAAGAAACGATTAGTTCAGCCGGGCACTGGTGGCTCACGCCTGTAATCCTAGCTACTCAGGAGGCTGAGATCTGAGGATCGCAGTTCAAAGCCAGCCCGGGCAGGAAAGACCGTGAGACTTCTATCTCCAATAAACCACCAGAAAACCGGAAGTGGCACTGTAGCTCAAGTGGTAGAGCACTCGCCTTGAGCTGAAGAGCTGAGGGACAGCGCCCAGGCCCAGAGTTCAAGCCCCACGACCGACAAAAAAAAAAAAAAAAAGATTAGTTCAATGTATGTTTTATCATGTTACCTCAACAGCTATTCCATGAAGGCCAGAAAAGCAGATGTATTTATAAGCATTTGTGTACCACAGTTGCATATGAAAGCCCATGGAGATGAGGCCCAGTTCCCAGCTTGGCCATCTTTTTCATACCCTGCTCCGTCCCACACTAGAGGGGTAGGGGTTCCATGTGCTTCTATGGAGCCTTCAGCCTGCATGTCCCAGTGCCATCTGTAAATAGCTTTTCCTGGCCACTTCTGTGTCCTAGAGGTGTGTGCAGGTCACATAGGAGGACAGGTGTGGGGAAGAGGCCTGCCCAGGCCTTGGGAGCAAGCTTAGAACTGAGGCTTTTAACTTGTGGTCTCCAGGGGACCTGGAGCGTGTACTCTAGGAAGAGGTGAATGTACTTCAATGGGCAGTGCACCTCAGTCCCACAGACCCCGCCCCCCCTGCATGAGGAGGGTCAGACCACAGGACAGCAGCCTTCTCATTCAGGTCTCTGAGTAGTAAGGGATTCTCATTATGGATGTGACCTCGGGCAAGTCCCACTGCTACTATCAGCCTCAGTTACCTGCTGTGAACACTGAGGTGGCCGGAACACTTCTACCTTCCAGGCCCTCTGTAGAGTCCATGAAACAGACTTGATCCCAGTCTCCTCACTTTATCTAGCAATGCCAAAACACCAGCCTTGTTTGCCCAAGGAAGAGTAAGTCACAGCAAGGAACTGCCTTTATTTCTTAATTTCCCATCCAGAAGTCCCACTATGGTCATGGAAGCATCATGAAGGTAACATCTCCTCAGGACAAGAATTTGCCATATTGACCAGTGACTGCCTCTGAAGACATAACCTTGGGGGCTAATGTCACCTTGGCAGAGATTGTTCACCTACAGACCATTCCAGATGATTTGCTGGGCCAGAAGCGCCTGCCTCCTGGATTCCATGACTCAGGCTCATTGAATAACTTTGTACTACAGCATCTGGTAACAAGGAGAAGCCCCTGGAGACGTCTTTCCAAAATAAAGCCATGTCTCACTCAAGAAAGATGGGGATAAAAAGCACTACCCAGCCATGCAGGACCAAGGAGCCTATAGGAAAGGAACAGCTCAGACACACAGACATGAGCACAGACAGGAAAGGGGATCACCGGGCACTCCCAGGAATCAGCAGGGAGCAAGGAGATGAAGCCCAGGACATAGTTGCTGCCAAGGCTGAACTCAGCAATGGAGTCCTGGGTGGGGAAAGCCAACATTCTAATCTCTAAAGACAAGGAACCAGCAACACTGACTCAGGTGAGGGCTTGTGAGCAAGTCTCCTGAGCAGGAAATAGACATGAAGGATATGTGTGAGACAGAGGTCAAAGTGCAAAGACAGCCATGAGGTCACGATGGCACCAGGGATTTGAAAACAAGAACCATCAGGAAAAGGAGGGCTGCTGCTTTGCTATTATTGTTCACGTGGCAAGCAACCCAGCTGCGCCTCAGCCCTCTGCTCAGGCGCAAGCAGAGTCTTGTGGCTTTCTCAGTACTTTTTTCACAGTTGGGTCTCTTCCTAGATGAGCCACAGTCACTTGAGGCTGGGCCAGGCTCTGGCTAGTTGAAGCGTCCTCAGCTGGTTCAAAGCTCACCTCCCTGATCTTGGTGGCCAGACATTTGGCATACGTGATCACTCACCCTGGGCAAGAATGCCTGCAGGCATAGAAGTCCAAGGAGCAGGGAAGCCTGGAACACCAGACTCTGCAAATGAGATGAGAACAAACTACAACAGCTCAGCTGGTTTTGTTTGTCTAACAGTGCTAAGCCAAGTCCACAGCCTGGGCTGGGAACATTCCAGATCTGAGAGGCATTCTAGCCAGTGGTTTGGTTGGATGGTAAAGATGGCGAACAGGTCTCAGGGTGGGCATGTGGCAGGTTTCTGGCATTTTGGATTAAGACAGGATGTACTGGTCCTAAATTCTTCCAAGTGGACTGAGTCGTCCAAAGTGTATCTTAGCAGCAGGAATTCATCCTTGTTTTGTGTCACATGGAGGTTGGTGACCACAGGCCCAGGAGAGCACCAGGCCGGCTTGATAAGGGTGGAGGAGCTGCTCCCAGTTAGATGAGCTGCAGCCCACCTGCTCCTCACGCCTTCAGGTAAAGTAGCGGCAGGGCGTGGAGTCGATTGAGCAGTACTGGGTGCACCGCAGGTCTCCATATGACCTGAGAGAGGCAAAGACAGAGGTCAGAGCAAACACAGGGCCAGGGCTGGGGGCTAGAAGTCCTGCCCAGCTCTGAGGGAAGGTTCTATAAGGCTACCTCTGGAGACTGTTGGTCCAACTGCATCAAACAGCAGTTGCTGCTGCCACTTTATCAAGGCTGAGGGTTTTAGGAAAATGTTCTCATTCTCATTTGTAGCACAGGGCTTGGGACAGTTGAGGAAGGTCTGCAGCTTTCCTCCTGCGGGCCCTGGTGGAGAACTTTGGGTGGGAGGAATTGCTAGCCTTGCTGTGAACACGGCCTCTAACAATAACGATCCCTTTCTCAAGGCCTGAAGGCCAGTGCCGTCCAATGGGAACATTTGGTCCTGATGCTAATGTTTTATATCAGTGCAAGCCAAAAGAGTTGCACTGGCCAGGTATGGCTATTGAGCTCTAGAAATATGGCCATTTAAAATTCTAATCATTTAAATCTGAATAGCCATATCCAATGGAGTATAGATTATGCCTCTGCAAATTCAGATGATAATACCGAGGCAGTATCTTATACAAAATATCACATTTACTAGCACTCTCTGAGGCTTCCAGGGACTAGGGAGTGAGCTGCTGCAGAGCCCTGGCTCCATGTCACATGATTTATACTCGGTTGTTTCCATGGAGTCATTGAATAGCTTAGCCTGGCCAGCTCTCTAGCAGGTTCTGTTGGGAGGAATGTTACTTCAGGCAGTGGGCAGCAGAGTCCTGAATGCTCTTAACCAGGCTTGGAGTCTGAATGACTAGAGGTATGCAATCCTCCAGCCTGAGTGAATATACAGAATGGGGGCAAGAGAGGGATGAGCATAGAGGCTGTTCCCAGGTGCTGCTGAAGGCCTGGACACTAAAGCACAGGAGGTTAAATGCATGAGGGATCAAGAGATCTAATGGATCTGCAGACATTTGGGGGCATGGATTGGGAGGAAGCAAGTGGCCTCGTGTCTTCCCCAGAACATTCTACAACACTAGCTATACGATAATGAGTGGAAACAAGGTGCCAATGTAGCCATGTCCAGGCTACATTTGGCCGTGGAATCCATGCCTCTTGGGGCCAGTGGCTCTCAGGTGGCCTAGGAGAGGTCAACATGGAAGCTAGGACACTAGCACACTGGGCCTGAGCCAGTGAATATCCACTGAAGCTTCACAGAAGTAACAAGAAGAGTCCTTGAAGGGGATATTTTCTTGGAGAGCCAGCAAGATTAGAAATGAATGCTGGTTGGATCTCACTTGGGCCCAGGTCTGTCCCAGGTGGGCAGGGGATTCTGGGACTTCGGTTGTATGGATATGTGGAGTCTTGACATACCTTAACACCACTACCTTCCCCTGGTCTTTCTAGACTGTAGTCTAGAAAACTGATATGGCCATGGTAACCAGGAGGGATGACCAGCCAACTCACACACTGCCACTCCCTTCTGGGCCCAGGACAGAGCTAGTGGCTGTGTCTGTCCTAGCACAACCTCGGGGGTGGGAGGCTGCTCCAACTGAAGCCACACAGGGATTATGTGATTGGTGTGGCTTCCCACACCAGAGGCCTCTAGGGAGCAGGGACCATGTGCTGTACCGCAATATCTAGTCATACCAGGAACGTGAGAAGTACTTGGGAATTACTTGGGAAGAAGAGGAGGAGAAAAGGATGGAAAGGGGAGAAGATGTCTTCCCTACCCAGGGAGATAGGTCTCGCACGTCAGATAGCCAAAGTCAGAGCCGTCACAATCTTCCACACCCTCGTGCCGGTAACCATCTCCACAGTAGGCCCGGTGGCAGTCTGAGGGGACACAAGGAAGAGCAGCCCTGAGACAGGGCAGGGCAAGACAAGGCAGGACGGGCCTCAGCCTAGACAGACAGTGTGAGCCAGAGCACCGCACCCACCTAGACCCGACCTTCACTGGCTTCAGATCCACAGAGCCAGGCCCTGCAGAACACACGTCCACATCCACAGGTACTGAAACAGGAAAGGAGCCCCAGGCCCCAGCCAGCCTTGCCATCTGCTGACTGAGAGATGGGGAGTGTCTTAAGTCCTTATCAGCCAGACTGCCTCCCTCTCACAGGCCTGCTGTGTGTGGGGTTCCCATGAGGTAAGGGTGGGAGACTGGAGTGTCAGGGCCAGTGAGGGTACCTGGTGATTCTCACCTGTCAGCAGAGAGCTTCTAGAGGGGTGACACTGATGGACCCAGTTTGTTTCTCAGGGTAGCCACAGGAGCCTGCACAAAGACCTGTATTCTCATACAAGGAGTAGGACCCCCACCTACATTTTCAATTATGTTTTTATTTATTTAATTGTTTTAGACATTGTATATAGCTACGTCGCTACATACCTATGTAGCTAAGACTAGCCTTGAACTCTGGGATTACAGGTATGTGCCACCACATTGGAATCACCTCACTTTGTGTGCGTGCGTGTGTGTGTGTGTGTGTGTGTGTGTGTGTGTGTGTGTGTGTGTGTGTGTGTGCTGGTCCTAGGGCTTGAACTGAGCTTTTGTGTTCAAGGCTAGCACTTTACCACTTGGGCCACAGCTCCATTTCCAACCTTTAAAAAACAAAATTGGTAGTTAATTGGTGGTAAGAGTCTCACAGACTTCCCTGCCCAGGCTGGCTTTGAACTAGCTGCTCAGCCTCCTGAGCAGCTAGACTTACAGGCCTGAGCTACTGGTGCCCAGCTCTGCGTTGACTTTTAACTGGGATCCTCAGATCTCAGTCTCCTGAGTAGCTAAGATTATAGACATGAGCCACCGGGGTTGGGCCCAATCCTTGCTTAGGGCCTTTTGAGAGCGCTGATTTGATGGGATCTGTGCCAGAGCAGAATGGACTCCAGGCAAAGCCAGCATGTTAGAGGCTGCACCCTGGAGGTTGTGGGGAGTCAGTGTAGCCGTACTGAGAGATGGGTATCATCTCCCCTGTGCCCACCCCTGTAGCCTTCACCCTCTGCAGCTATATACACCCAAGTCCTAACCCCTGAGCAGACCAAGTCATGGATAGATTTGGTGGCTGCATGCTAAACCCTTCCTACATCCAAATACCAGCATATAAGACAGATTAAAATGTCTCTAAATACTTGAGCCACTGCCCCGTGGTACCCATTTCAGTCAGGAAAGTGAGGCTCACTGTAAACAGCCCTCAATATGGCTCACTATGTAGCATGGAGGCAACCAGAGTCTGCATCCAAACTCTCACCCTTGCTTTTGATTTTAAAAAATAAAACTAAAAAACAAAGCATGCAAGGCTGCTGCCACAGCCCCGTCCCCGCAGTGGAGGCAGTGCTGTGCGGGTCACTTGCCCCAGGGAACAGTGCCGGCTACTAGAGGAGAGCCCGCCTGGGAAGGGGGTCCTGACTCACAGTTGTGGCCTCTTCCTTTTGCCTTTCCCTCCTGCATTCAAAGTGAAGGCTGATCACACCACCTTCACCTCTGGGGCCTGGAAGCTGGGCTGTGCCAAGGAGTGGGAATGGGGGACAAGAGAAGGCCTGGGATGAGGAACACAGGGCCTCGGGGGGGCAAGACATCGTCCCCCACTTCAGTGATGTGTTTTGGTGGTAGAACCATCAACATGGGGCTTGAGATTGGAAGGAAGGTTCCCATGGTTCTCTCTGGCCTTAGATTGGTCCTGGACCCCCCCATAGCTGGGGTCCAGGGCTTGAGCCACTCTTCCCAGTGGGGTCCTCCCAGAAGGGTCCTACTCACTGATGCAGTCATCACCCGCATCGTGGTTTCCGTCATCACACTCCTCTCCAGGCTGCAGGAGCCCGTCCCCACAGGTACCACGCTGGTCTACGGTGTAATCCACAGGGTAGAAAGGGGTCAACTGGCCAAAGAAACACATGCCATTAACCGGGAGGTGGCAATGCCCAGGCAGCTGAAGAGCAAGGAGACCACTGGCTCTGGGGACAGAGGCTGTGGACCGAGGGCCTCCTGGGAAGGGTACTCTTTGTCTGTCACCCACCCACCTAGGGCTCTGTGGTCAGCAGAATGCTGGGCCCAGGTAAGTCAGCATTCAGTATCACAGGGCATGGTCTGGGACCTCGGTTTGAGAGGAGCTTGTTTTGGAGCTTGGGAACACAGAGAGCTGCTCAGAAAAAGTCCGAGAGAGGATCATTAGCCCTACAGTGGAGACAGACCATAGAAATTCTTTTCTAGCTGTTTGGCTTTTTCTTCCTTTCATATATATATATATATATATATATATATATATATATGTATGTATGTATGTATATATATGTGTGTGTATACACACATATATATACATATATACACACACATATATATACATATATATGTGTGTATATAGAAACACACATATATATACACATATATATGTGTGTGTATATAGAAACACATATATATACACATATATACGTGTGTATATAGAATGTATAAATACGTAAAATATTTGGTGATACTGGTGTTTGAACCAGGGCCTAACACTTGATTGGGAGGTGCTCTAATCTTGAAGCAAACCATTAGCCCTTTTGCCTTATTTTTCAGATAGGATCTCATACTTTAAGCCTGGGCTAGCCTCAAACTTTGGTCCTCCTGATGTCTGCCTCCCAAATAGCTGGGATTATAGGCATGCCTCATTGTGCCCAGCCCCCTTCCTTTCCTTTAATAGGTGTGCCTTTCTGTAGGGTGAGGACCTAAGAGAGAGATATCCTAAGGGTCTGCCTCAGGATACCTGGATGGGAAGCCAGCCAAGGCTGTCCTTGAAGTACAGAGATCTCTGGTCTCTGCGGAAGGCAATGGCATTTTGGGTGTTCAGCCTCTCAAGCTCTTCCTGGTTGTTGACCACAAAAATCTGCCAGAGAACACATTAGTGAGGATCCCAGAAAACAATTTCTATAATGTGTCGATAGTGAAATAATTCTATAAAGGTGTGAGGACCAGGTAAGAGGGGTCTCTAGGCACCCACCCCAAGCTGTACCCCGAAGAGCCTTACCGCAGGAACTTGCAGGGAACTGGACCCATACATGGAATCCTCATAGGAGGGGTTATTCACATTCACAGGAGGTCCACAAAGACATCTTCCTGGAGGCCCTGGAAATCCTCTTTCCCCCTTGGGTCCCATTACACGTTGTCCTAGAAAGCAACAGACTGCTGTGTTACTAGAGGCAAGGAAGAGAAAACCAGAGAGATACAAGAAACCTGGGCAACAGAGAGATGGTTAGAGTCATCTAACATCTACACATGTCAGTGTAGGCCTAAGGGATAGGCTCAAAGAGATTATTTTGATCCAAGGTGAGGAAATGATGAGGAGAGAAATAACTGGTAAGACATGGAGTGCCCTTTCTTTCCTGCTTTACAGACAGACGTGGTATCTGGTGCTGCAGCAGCCGTATTTCAACCATAAGAACAAAAGCCAATGTGCAGGAAAGATAAGGGACACAGGGCCCAGTGCCCTGACAGTGACAGAGGTGGAACCAAAGCTATTATCCATCTATAGATTTCCTTGTTGGAATAAAACAATGTCCTCTTGGTTTAAACTAATGTTAACAGGGGGCCTTTTGCAGATAAATATATTGCTGATGGACACATTTTATCATTTTATATCTTATTTTTTGTACCAGTACTGGAGTTTGAACTTGTGCTTTTGCTTGGCTTTTTCCTCTCAAGTCTGGTGCTCTACCATTTGAGCTATATCTCCACTTCCTGCATTTTGCTACTTAATTGGAGATTATAAAGAGTCTCATAGACTTTTCTGCCAGGCTGAGTTCCAACTGAGATCCTTAGATCTTAGCCTCCTGAGTAGATAGGATTACAGGTGTGAGCCACTAGCACCCACTAGCACCCAGCAATCTTTTTTTTTTTTTTTGGTCGGTCTTGGGGCTTGAACTCTGGGCCTAGGCATTGTCCCTGAGTTCAAGGCAAGCACTCTACCACTTAAGCCACAGTGCCCCTTCTGGTTTTCTGGTGGTTAATTGGAGATAAGAGTCTCACAGACTTTCCTGCCCAGTCTGGCTGTGAACCACAATCCTCAGATTTCAGCCTCCTGAGTAGCTACGATTACAGGCATGAGCCATTGGCACTCAGCATCCTTTTCTTATATAAAGAACAAGTACAATGCTGATGGCTTATGCCTGTAATCCTAAACTAGTCAGGAGGCTGAGATCTGAGGATTGCAGTTCAAAGCCAACCCAAGTAGGAAAGTCCATGAGACTCTTACCTGAAATAAACAACTCAGAAAAAACCAGAAGTGGTGCTGTGGTTCAAGTGGTAGAGTTCTAGCCTTAAGCAAAAAGAAGCTTAGGGAAGAGCCCAGAGTTCAAGCCACAGAACCAGGAAAAAAATCATAATAATAATGATGATAATAGAGGAATTTCTGGAAGCATATGGAACATTTGTAAATGTTCAGCCCACTTACATTCTTCCGATAAAAGTCAGGATGTGTCCTGAAAAGATATGATCACCAAACTGACTCCCTAGAGCTGCTAGGGTAGTATTCCTTAATTTACTTTCACTTTTTAATTAAAAATATGCTACTAACACAAATTAATTGTACAAAGTCATGCATACTTTGATTTATTTTAGATTTTAAGTAAAAATATCAGGTCTCACTATGTGGCCAAGTCTGATCTCAAACTTCTGGAGTCAAGTGATCCTCCTGCTTCAGCCTCTTGAGTAGCAAGGACTACAGGTGCACACTACCATGTTCACCTTTGAAAGGCTATGATGCCCAGGACATGCCTCAAATTAGTTCAATCAAGACCAAGAATATGGTAGAATACTAGCCAGCCAGTCCTGAAGCCCTGGGTACACACACACACACACACACACACACACACACACACACACACACACTTTCCAACAACAGAATCTAGGAATGTATAAATTTATTTATTTATTTATTTGGGATGTAATAGGGTCTTGTGTGTGCTAGTCCAGTGTTCTACCCCTGAACTATACCCTTATCTCTGTTTTCTTTGTTTATTTTTGTTTTTGTTTATCTGGCTTGAGGTTGGACCAAGGGCCTTGCACATGCTAGTAAGTACTTTTCCACTGAGTACACTTTCAGCCCTAGGCACCTTAAAATTTTAAAAGATCTCTTGGCTAGGCACCAGTAGCTCATGCCTATACTACTAGTTTCTCAGAAGGAGATGTGAAGATCATAGTTTGAAACCAGCCCAAGCAAGAAAGTTTGTGAGACTCCCATCTCCAATTAACCACCAAAAAAGTTGGAAGTGGAAGTGGAGCTTTGATGAGATAAAGTACCACTAGCCTTGAGCACAAAAGTTCAGGGACACACTCAACCCCTGAGTTCAATCCCCAAGACCAGCACACACACAAGTTCTCAAGAGGTTTCCAACATGCAATTATAATTGAGATCCACTAGTCTAGGGAAAAGGGGTATGCACAGGACTTTCCCCCAATCAGATCATCTCCCTTATGCTCCAACTTCCTGTCCTCAGAGGCATCCTAAGTCACTTATGATCTGGGTTCAAACATCAGCTCCCAGTTTTTGAATTTTTCCCTTGTGTCATGTTCACCTCAGATACAGTTTCCTAATTCCTGTGTCTATTCTTCACAGTACTTTTCTGTGATTCTCTCTCCTCCCACAGAACGTAAGCTTCCACAGGGCAGGGCTAGGACTGGTTTCACCCATCTGGCTTGACACCTACTACAGCATGGTATATGTTTGACAATAATTATTTACATTAATGTAAATAAATTGGGAAGTAAAGGTCTTTGGAAAAGGTCATAATTCATACTCTGGCTGGCAGAAAAAGGCTGGAGCAGGAGCCATGCAACAGGAAGAGGAAAGAAAAGAGAAGAGGGGAGTGAAAAGAGAAAGGAACATGTGTCCGGCTTCCTAGAAAAACAAGAGGGTTTGTGGGACCATGGTCATTGGTCTCGGAGAATATCTTGGGCAGCCAGGTACAGGGAACTCATTTATACATCGCAGAAGGGCAGGAATTCAATGACCCAGCAGGAGAAAGATCAGAACCATAAGGAAGCAGCTGCATCTGGAAAAAAAGATGCCAATGGAAAGACCCCCAACTCATGGAGTTTTCCTCAGACATGTTCAAAAATCACATGGTAGACAGCAGGAGGGAAAGGGAGGCGTGCCAAAATCTTATGCCAAGTTATAGCTGTTGGTTCTAACAGGACATGTGAATATAATTCTGTGGGAAGAACTGCACTCCATTTTGGTATTTTCAAAAGAGCTGGGTGACATGAGAATCCTTCCAACCCCAGAAGGTTCTGGGTAGTTAGGCAACTTGGGGGAATGGAGTGGAATGTGCCATGATTAGGAGTGTGAGTGTGGCATTGGATCGACCTTCTGGAAGGTTTTGTGACCCCTATGGTCGCCCCCACCCCCCACCAGAACCATGGCCTCAGAGACAGTCTAGAGTCTGACTAATTTTCTGGCTAATTAGTGGTGAGGTTCAGATTTGAGCTCTTGTTGGATCCAGAATGCACCATTCAAAAGACAAACTAAGAACAGAGCTACTTTTAGGAAGCTGGCTATTCCCAGGAACCACATAGATTCACGTGGGTCTGGGTGCAGGAAAGACTCCACCAGCTTTGTAATTTGATTATTGCAAATTATATCCTAAAGGCATTCTGTTTTTATTCTCCCCACACCTAAGTCCCCCAGCCTCTCTTTCCCTGAAACTTGAGCAATTAAAAAAGTCCCATCCTCTCTAACTTGCCCAGCACCAGCAAGCTCCATAGCACTGGGCACCAGAACCCAAGGAAGCCATCTGACAGGATGTGGCAAGGTGCCTACCACCACTGCTGCAGTTCCCTGGTGCTTCCTCCCAGCTGTTAGGAGGCATTGTGTGCCCTGCCTGCTCCTGCAGCCTGACCTGTGGGCATGGCAACCTGAGTGTCCTCACTTTAGCTCAATACTATTTCCTAAAGCCAAAGGAGCCTGCGCCCCATCTTTTCCCAGAGAGCCACAAGCTGACTCTGGACTAGTGTGGCCACCAGCCAGCATGATGACCTTGTGGGAGTCCTCTTTCTCTAAGGCTTTAACATGTAGTCTATAGAACCCAAGGACATTTGGATGGATTAGGGGCAGAGTTTCATATTATACATTTTCTTCCTGAGAGTGGGTGGTGATTTTTGTGTGTGCGTGCTGGTCCTGGGGTTTGAACTCAGGGCCTGGGCACTGTCCCTGAGCTTTTTTGCTAGTGCTCTACCACTTGAGCCACAGCTCCACTTCCTGCATTTTTGTGGTTAATTGGATGTATGCGTCTCACAGACTTTCCTGCCTAGGCTGGCTTCGAACCAGATCCTCTTAGCTTCCTTGAGTTGCTAGTATTGTAGACATGAGCCACTGGAGCCCAGCAGTTGTTTGTTTTTGGAAATAAACCATTAGCATACATTAATAGTACAAGGGAGTTTCCTTGTGATAATTCCTTAGATATGTGAAGTGTTTTTTAAAATCTCTTTTTACCTTTTCCTCCCTCCCTCCCTCCCTCCCTCCCTCCCTCCCTCCCTCCCTCTCTTCCTTCCTTCCTTCCTTCCTTCTTTCCTTCCTTCCTTCCTTCCTTCCTTCCTTCCTTCCTTCCTTCCTCTCTTCTTTCCTTTCTTTCTCTTTCTCTTTCTCTCCTTCCTTCTTTCTTCTCTGTCTTTAAGTCTCTGTCTCTCTTCTTTTTAGATAGGGTCTTGATATTTAGCCCAGGTTGGTCTCTTAACTCTCCATCTTTCTGCCTCAGCCTTCTGAATGATAGGAAGAGACACAGCTTTAGAAAGAATGGTTGTGAGTAGATGTGGTGTTACACACCTGTAGTCCAAGTCCTCAGGAGGCAAGAGGATCATGAGTCCAAGGCCAGGTTGGCTGCATAGTAAGACTATGTCTCAAAACAAAAACACCAAAAGAATGGTTGTGGTGTTCCTTGGGTAGATGGCTAAAGAGACCAGGATTCTCAGTCTTGGAAATGCTGTGATACTCAAGAGGCAAGATGACAGTAGTGTCCATCCATCTTAGACAACAGATGAACCACATGAACAGGATAGACCAAAAGTGAGAGATACTTTTCTTGATATTTTTGGCTATAATTCAATAGGATCTTTGTCCAACCCTTTTGTGGCAGTTGGAGAAATGGAAAGAACTCCAATAATGCTTGAAATTTGAATTTTCCTGGCATCTTGGTAGACTGGAATCTTGAAGTCAACTTTAATTTAGTTTAAAGGTTTTAAGGGAATAGATATTAATGGAACATCATGCCCATCCCATAACGGGGCTGCAAATATGCATCCCATAAACAAGGGAAGAACGCATACTTGGGTCTTTATATCTTCATTTTCTTAAGAAAAATTTGTAATAAAAATTCTCTTGATCTCTATTGCTGTCCTCTGTAACTGACGACAGACTGGGGAATGTTTTTAAACAGATCATGTGTTTGTGCTCTGAGAGACAAGGAAATAAAATAAGGGGCTTAGCTAAGCATATTTTAAAAGGTAATGATATACCTATTTTCTCAATAATAGGCTTTTGATTTCTTTTTAGTAAATCTCTCCTATCGATCAATGCAAATAAGGACTCTTGGGTCCCACTGAATCAGATAGAAAACTCTGCAAAACCATCTCTACTCCTGGTTTTAAGAGGATTCTTTGGAGCAATGAACCATGTTTTTTTAGAATAAGATGTTAGATGATAAAATATGTGCCTTTTTCATTGAAGGTGAAATGACACCACCAGTGAAATGATATATGATAAAATGATACAAACAATACAATTTTTCCCCTGGGTCTTTTCTCTATCTGTTCTCTGAACTACTAAAACAAAGCCAGAATAGCATTAATGTCTCTTGTGTAAAAGTTGAATGAGTCAAATCATGGAGAAATTATGATTTATTACAGGGCCTCTGGCAGTCTAACTGGAAATACAAGGCAGGGCTTTGCTGGCACATCCTTGTGCCCCTTCTGAGGAAGCTGGCTAGTAGTGCGACTCTATAGGTCAAGTGAAGCAGTACAGTTCTTACCTGCAGACACAGGGCCTGGGAGTCCTGGAGGGCCTGGACGGCCAGGTTGACCAGAAGGCCCAGGCTTGCCAGGTGGGCCCATGACTCCGCTATCTCCTTTCTGTCCCTGACAGAAAGAAAATGGAGCCTGTTATGATAACATGGTATGGCAAACCTCCTCCCTTACCATCCAGCACTTAGGAGCAAGAGCTCAGGGAAGGCCACAAGCTCATCCAAAAAGCTCCTAAAAGGCTTAGGACAAGTGACACTGGAGATTATAGTAATGATTGCAAGTTTGCAGATCTAACTTAGGTGTAGCTCCTGACAGTTGAACAGAACCAGGTCATGCCCTAGCATGGATTATGAAACAGAGACTCAGAAGAGTGAAAGGACTTATGCAAATCCTTAGCATAAAGGGACAGCAGAGGCGGGCTGCAATTCAGGGGCTTTCTGTCTGTTGGTCAACGCCACTTCCATTTCACCGTAAGAGCTGCTCCCCCTTACGCGTTGCTCTCTGGAGAGACCTAGCTTCTTCCTCAGCCTGGAAGCAGGGCATAGACAGAAATTCCAGTCTTGATCCAGATTTTTTTTTTTGTCTTTTGTGATCCTCATGATCAAAAACAGGCATTTAGTCTAGGTCACAGACTTTATCAGCATAGTCATTTCATCGATGACTGTTCATGACACATAGATAGCTCCACTAAGCTGGATCAGCTATGTTTGCCTCCCCTCCCCAGACCAATTGGGAAAGAAGAAGCTGACAATACAAAGGGAAGGGACCTGTGACTCAACAGGGACCTGTTTCCCAACTGGGAAACCCTGGGGAATGCAGGTCATTGCTTGGTGCTTATATGGGGTTTTTGGTTGGTTGGTTGGTTGGTTGTTCTTTTTGGTGCTGGTCCTCGGGCTTGAACTCAGGGCTTGGGCTCTCACTGTCCCTGAGCTTTTGTGTTCAAGACTAGCACTATACCACTTGAGCTCCACTTTTGGCTTTTTTCTTTTCTGGTGGTTAATTGAAGAGAAGAGTCTCACTGACTTTCCTGCTCAGGCTGCTTTTTTTTTTTTTTTTGTCGGTCGTGGGGCTTGAACTCTGGGCCTGGGCGCTGTCCCTCAGCTCTTCAGCTCAAGGCGAGCGCTCTACCACTTGAGCTACAGCGCCACTTCCGGTTTTCTGGTGGTTTATTAGAGATAGGAGTCTCACGGTCTCTCCTGCCCGGGCTGGCTTTGAACCGCGATCCTCAGATCTCAGCCTCCTGAGTAGCTAGGATTACAGGCGTGAGCCACCAGCACCCGGCTTCAGGCTGTTTTTGAGCGTGGTACTCAGACCTCAACCCCCCTAAGTGTAAGGTCTGCCCTAGGCCATGCAGGTCCTGTGCAGACACCTCCCTACCTCTTGGCTAAGTTTCTGCCCAGTATCTGTGTTACCCAGGTAACTGGCACACCTGGAAGCAGTCACCTCCCCCTCCTGCTAGCTCACATCCTAGGCTGCCTCTAGTTACGCTTCCTATCTGACCATAGGCAGGTCCCAGGCCCTGAGGTCACATCCAGAGCCAGTGTGGCCACACCACTTCCTGTCCCTGGCCTAGATAAGTCCTGGCCTGGGGGTGAGTTGCCCCTTTTGGACATGCATCATCACCACGCATGGTGCAGGGTAGCAGCAGTTCGGTAAATGAACTTCTTTTCCTGCCTGTATATCGCATGGTGTTCTCTTCATCGGCTACCTAATGAAACCTACCTATTTAATATCCCTTATACTAAGTAGCTAGGATTACAGGTGTAAGACACTGGTGCCTGAGGGGTTTTTTTTGCTGGTTTTTAAGACAGGATTTTGTCATGTGGCCCAAGTCGGTCTTCCCTTCACATTTCCTCTGCCTCAACCTCCTGGTTATGAGACTACAGTTGTGTAACACTATGCCCAGCTTTGTGCCTCACTTTTGCCTTCTGTAAAATGGGGACAACAAGCACACACATAGGCTTGTTGTGAGGCTACCAAATGGCTCAGAGGTGAAAAGACACAAAGCCAAGCTGATCATCACACCTGCATGGTCTGGTTTTGTCTTTTTCTCATAGTAAAGAGGTCCCAGTTTCTTAGAGGAACACAGCAGCAGCTACAGCTATTGCCTAGGAATGTCCTCTTTGCTGTATGCTCTGAGAGCTTCAAGAACAAAGATGGGGTTCTTGACTCCCCACTTAGGGATTGCTTAGAATAACCCCAGAAAACAGTGCTGCTGTGTGCTATAACTTTGCCCCACAGCAGCCTGCTAGTTAGCAGACTCTTGCCCTTGCCAGTCAGGACAGTAATTAATCCCTAACATTGTTGGCCTGGCTCTCCTCAGACCACTTGGGCCTTTGTGAGCCTACCCACCTGATGGAATGTCCCCAAGTCTGAGACTCTGCATACCAGGGACTCATTTCCAAGCAAAATGGTTAACACATGAGCTGCTATCCTGCCAATATGGCCCTGGAGCCCCCTTGGTTATAATGCCTGGGGAGTTCTTGACCATTCACTAGGGGACCAGTGAGGTCAGTTTATTTCCAGTTCCTTCTTCATGGAGGACTTACTTAAGCCTCAGCCCAAGCGGAAGCATTCCATCCAGTCACCAGGATGGGTCCCAGAACACCAAAGGAAGTCACACCAGCTTAATATAGCCATGGGAAAGGCTTGTTTTTTTAACAGCCAGGTCAGCTGGCTCTGAGCACAGGAAGTACACAGCTTGAAGGCGCTGGAAATGCTCCTTGATTCTGACACCAGCGGTACAGCAGTCTTCTGCCTATCAGTTACCTGCTCAGAAGTCTTTGGCAGAACTCATTAAGGAGAACTTTCCAGGAAAAGCCATCCTATTCCTTACTTGCCACAAGTTTGGGGGATATGAAGTTGTTCTGCCCCCTTACCTGGAGGGTCTTAAGATATAAAGACAACAGCTGCTTTCCTGAGCCTGCATAGAAGCATGGCTTGAAGCCCAATAGTGACGGGGAGAATTTATGTGGGGAAATGCTGGTCACCACACTCTGACTTGGCTTGAAGCTGGCTCAGCTGAAGGGTCTTGGACAAGCAATACCATCTCCCTCAGCTTCCTTGAAAATAAACTGAAGAGGGCTGGGAAGGTGGCTCAGTGGTAGAGCGCTTGCCTTGCATGCCTGAGGCCCTGGGTTCCATTCCTCAGCACCACATAAGCAAAAAGAAAAAAAGCCGGAAGTGGCGCTGTGGCTCAAGTGGTAGAGCGCTAGCCTTGAGCTGAAGAGCTGAGGGACAGTGCTCAGGCCCAGAGATCAGGACCCATGACCAGACACCCCCCCCCCAAAAAAAAGAAAAGAAACTGAAATGACAGAGACAGATGAGTGATTTCTAAATCCTTCTTGTTGGAAATTTTAGACTGAAATATCTCCTAGTTCAGGTGCATGCATGCATCCACATGTGTGTGTGTGTGTGTGTGTGTGTGTGTGTGTGTGTGTGTGTGTGTGTGTGTGTACTAGGGTTTGGGTTCAAGGCCTTACATTTTCACTTGGCTTCTGCTCAAGGCTGGTGCTCTACCACTTGAGCCACAGCTCCACTTCAGGCTTTTTGGTGGTTAACTGGAGATATAAGTCTCATAAACTTTTCTGCCTGGGCTGGCTTTGAACTGTGATCCTCAGATCTCAGCCTCCTGAATAGCTAGAATCCCAGGCATAAGTTACAGTACCTGGCTATTCAGGAATTTGATTTTTGGTTTTGAATTGACTTATAATAACTTTCAGAAAGTCTTCATGTCACTGGCCCAGAAAATGCTGGATATAGATTCTACAGTAGAAAATCAATTCAAGATTAAAAGAAAAAAGAAGCCGGATACCAGTGGCTCACACCTGCAATCCTAGCTCAGGAGGCTGAGATCTAGGGATCGCAGATCAAAGCCAGCCTGGGCAGGAAAGTCTGTGAGACTCTTATCTCCAATAAATACTCAGAAAAAGCTGGAAGTGATGCTGTGGCTCAAGTAGTAGAGTGCTAGCCTTGAGCACAGAGAGGCTCTGAGTTCAAACCCCATGACTGAAAAAAAAAGTGGAGTAGGGTAGGCTGCCAAGGCAAATGACACAGGTGTCTGTTAAGTAGACACATAAGTTGTCTTCATCTTGTAGGAAGGCTGAGCTCATTCACTCACCCCTGTGTGTTCCCCAATGTGGTCAAACACCTCCCTAGAAATGAACTAGAGGACAGAAGCAATAAGCTTCTCAAAGTACAAGTGTTAGTGAAATGAGTCCCTTCCCATAGCTTAGTCCACCCCTTCCCTTCTCCACAGCTTAGCATGCTCCCTTCCTAGGCAGCACTAGGCCCAAGTAGTAAAGGCAGTAACTAATCAACTTCCAACCCGCTTTATCTTGCAATGGCACTACCACCATATAAGGCAACAAGAGCCCCTTAGATTGACCTTCAGGTCTGGGCAGTTGCAGGACCCTTATCTACTATTTAGATAGCAGCCATAAATCCTAGTCTGCCATGATGGAGCCCCTGGCCCACACGTCCATACCAGGGTCTCCGCCTTCTAGCCCCTTCTAGTCCCTTCTAAACCCCCTAGGTTATATAGGTCACCCCAGACAACAGCCGGTATTTCTTCTCACTTCTCTCTTGTGAGAAGGAGTCTCGCCAGCCCCCTTTCCAGGCAATAAACCTTCCTTTGTTCTCTGTACCTGGATGTCTGTGTGGTTCTCTGGCAAAGTCTAATTAATCTTTTTAAACCTAAGAACAAGCATAGAACATTCTGGATAGAAATGACTGGGAGAGAAGAAACATGAATCATTTCCCCTCCAGTTTTTCCTCTCAGCCATGCTTTCAGAGAGTAGGTATCTGTGGCATCATGGTAAAGTCATGACCATGCCAGCAGTTGTTCAACTGAAATTAGACTAGAATTTTGTAGCTTCAAAAGTTACTGTTGAAATCTGAATTATCAAGATGGGAATGTGTCACTTCAAAATTGAGTAGGAAAAGACCATAATTAGCTTCAGTGTTATCATGATTTTTTTTTAATTTTATTTTATTGTGAAGATGCTGTACAGAGGGGTTACAGTTACACGAGTAAGGTAACGAGTACATTTCTTGTCAAGCATTGTCATCCCCTCCTTTGTTTTTCTCTTCCCATGGTTTTTAACCCTGACTTCCCATTAGAACCATAGAATAAGACACAAAATAAAACCCATGCTGAAGCAGTTCTTTCCAGGCTAATTGTTTCATAGACTTGGTAACAAGGCCTAGGCCCTGGGAAGCCAAGAGGCGAACTGTAACTATTGTAGCTGGTGTGAGGAATTTGAAATCAGACAACTCCCAGTGGTTCTGATGTAAGCTAATATTTGAGAACCATGGAGCTAGCCTAAGGAAATGATGAGAAGAATGGAAAAAGCTATGCACCCAAAGATGTTCCCTTTGCAGCATTCTATAGACTAAGTAGTCCTCGCTTGTTCAAGCAATCTATTGCTTATTCACTTACTAACATATGATGTGGATATGTAAAAAAGGTGTTTAAAAATATTAACAGGAAAAACTTCACAGCAACACTGGTAGCTCTTGCCTATAACCCTATGAATTTTCAATTTGAGAGACTGAGATCTAAGGATCATGGGTCAAATCCAGTGTGGGCAAGAAAGTTCATGTGACTTTTATCTCTAGTTAACCACCAAAAAGCCAGAAGTAGGGCTATGGCTCAAGAGATAAAACAACAGCCCTTTTTTGTCAGTTGTGGGACTTGAACTCTGGGCCTGAGCGCTGTCCCTGAGCTCTTCAGCTCAAGGCAAGTGCTCTACCACTTGAGCCACACCACCACCGGTTTTCTAGTGGTTTATTGGAGATAAGAGTATTACAAACTTTCTTGTCCAGGATGTCTTTGAACCGTGATCCTCAGATCTTAACTTTCTGAGTAGCTAGAATTATAGTCATGAGCTACTGGCACCCAGCTCAAAGCACCAGTCTTGAGCAAAAGAGCTAATGGGAAGCACCCAGGCCCTGAGTTCAAACATCAGTACTGGCACCCCACACACACACAAAAGAAAGAAAGAAAGAAAAGAAAAACTGTACACGTTGTAATTTTAAGTTAAAAATAATTACATATAGAATTTAAAAGAAACAATTTGAATGAATAAAAAGAAATCTGACAGGAAGTATATAAAATCACCCCAGAATCACCAACAATACATATATGTTCCTCAGTGTTGGGTCTTTTGATGATTTTCTATCTATTTCCATGATTTCTTAAATTTTCTGTGATGATTGCATAAAGGGAAGGGAGACAAAAATACAATGAACAAAATAGATTTTTAATGTCCTCAATACAAATAAATAATAAATATTCCAGGTAATGGGTATGTTAATTAGCTGAATTTGATCATTCTTTAATGTATATATGCAATGAAACATCACCATGTACCTTGTAAATGTATGTAATGACCTATCAATTAAAAATATAATAAAACTTTTGCCAAGTTATCCTTGAACAAAAGATCATTCTGCCCCAGCCTCCTAAGTGCTGGAATTAGATGCATGTACTATCATGGCCTGCTAAAACTATTTTACTGTATATTCAAAATAACGTTTTTCTTCTAACATATTGAAAATCATTAACATTAAAAGTTGCAAAAGTATATATATTCATGTATTCATTTAGTTTTGAATTAAAATTACTTAAATAAAGCTGAACTTAGATGTCTATTTGAAATAAAAAACCAACACACATCAAAAAAGTAATATGAGCTAGACACCAGTGGTTCACAACTATTAGTTACTCAGGAAGCTGAAAGCTGAGGCTCTCAGTTTAAGGCCAGCCTGAACAGGAAAGTCACTAAGACTCTTATCTTCAGTTAACTACCAAAAAAGCAGGACATAAAGCTGTGTGGCTCAAGTGGTAGAGCACTAGCCTTGAGCAAAAAAGTTGAGGGATAGACCCCAGGCCCTGAGTTCAAGCTCCAGGACTGGAAAACACACACACACACACACACACACATACACACACACACACACACACACACACACACAGAGTAATGTGGTCAGGTGTAGTGATATATGCCTGTAATTTTAGCACTCAGGAGCCTCAGGGAAGAGGATTGTGAGTTCCTGATCTACATAGTAAGATCCTCTCTACAAAAAGGAAGGAAAGAAAGGAGGGAGATTGGAAGGGAAGGAGGAAGAAAGGGAAGGAGGGAGAGAAAAGGAAGAAAGGCAAGCAAACAAAAACAATATATCTCTCAGGAGTACTTGCCCACTACAGAAAAGTCCATAAGTTTTTCTGAGATAACTCAAGATAGTTCTTGCATTAGCCCAGGCAAATGAGTCTTCTTTCCTTTCCCTAACTTAATTGCCTGGTTTAATATAGGAGCCTGTTGACCAAAACAATTTTCCTGAAACCTTAACAAACCTAATAAAAAAAAAAGATGGCTTACAACTTGGGACTTTTGTGGGGAAATTCCATCCTGCCATGAGACCCTGGAGACCTTTTGATAGCTGAGAAATGCCTGGAGGGATCATCCTCCAAGAGCCCTTTTGTGTTTGGAACACTGAAAAGTTGAGTAAATTATCCAACTTCTTCCACTCCTCGTTGCTTGGTTAAGGTGGATTTTTCCTATTAACTGAAGATTCACTCTTGCTTCTGGCTTGAGGAGCATTCTATCTCTTCCATCCTCAGCGGTATCTATCCTAGGAAGCTTGAGATCCTGGAAACAGTGTCCCTCGGATACTAGAATCTGGGGTTATGGAACATTTCTGACTGACTCATTCTCCTCTCTCCTCAACACCTATCTGGTCAGAAAGTTCCATCTGAGGGTAGGAGAAAACCCTGGAATCCCTACCTGCTTGCCTCGTTTTCCTGGTCTTCCTGTGGGTCCTCGGTGTCCTGCTATACCAGGTTCACCCTTTGGGCCCATTTCACCCTGGAAAGAGAAAGAAAAATTGGAGTGTGTGGAGTGGCATATGTACATAGGTCTATCCAATTCTTAGCTTGGGGACAGCCTTTTGATCATTTTAAGTCTTTTCTAGATGGGCAACCCTGGGAGTTTGGCAGAGCAGTGAAGCCACATGAAAGGCAGACTCATCTTTCAAGGAAGAGAAAAGAAAGACGGTAACTCTGAGTAGATTACTTAGTGCTATGGGCAATAGATATTTTGGTGACCAAAAGAGAGACAAACCACTATTTGAAAAATGTGGTAAGCTTCTGTCTTTTAACCACGTGTGTGCCTGTGACACTTTAGACTGGGAAAAGGGCTATTTTATTTTATTTTAAATATTGCATAGTGCTTTGTTTTGTTTTTTAGTACCACATCAAATTGGTGGGGTTTTTGACACAGTAGATTGGACACAGTTTTTCCTACTGTCATAATAGAAGTTTATGCTTCTTTCATGGCTTTTGCTTAAGATTATATATGAAGTAAACATTGCTTTGAGTTCCAGCTCACTTCCATTTGATTCTGTGGGGAGAGATATCTCAAGTATATGTTTCGAGTTTCAAGAAATGTTTCATATGTGTGTATATCCAAACATTCAATGTGATTATTGAATATGCACTTTATAAAACAGTGAAAATACGTTCTTCATTGAATATAACTCTGTGTTGGAAAATCAGAAACAGTGTACCAGTGGAAGAATTTCATAGCTCAAGGCCAACCTTTCCCCAAATAATTTCTCCATCTGTATTAGTTACTTTTGCCTCATTTTAACCAAATAAGGGTGGAAAGATTTATTTTGGCTCATAATTCAGCCCACTGCAGCTGGCTCCATTGTTTCTGCACCTATCGTAAGGTACAGCATTATAGTGGCAGGAATGTGTGGTAGAGGCTGCTCATCTCATGGTAGACAGGAAACAGAGGGAATAGAGGAAGGAGGCAGGGAAAGATACATTCTTCAAGGACACATTGACCTCCGATTAGGTTTCACTTCCTACTTTCACCACCTCCCAATAATTCTATCATAAATCCATCAAGGAATTGATTCATTTATTAGGTCAGAGATTCTCCTAGAAGTGTGCTTCCTTAATCCCCTAGGTGCTTCTCCAACCAATCAAGAACTATCACACCAGCTTAGTTTCTCTCCTTCTTCTCCACGTTCTTCTGGGATTTCAGCCCCACTTAACTGTTTTGGGGGATCATGAACACAAAGGATAAATTATTACTACCTCCAATAATCCTCCTGCAGCCCAAAATGTACCACCAATGTAAGTTTAGAGATAACTGCCATGAGTATTTCTCTTAGTCAGCAGACGGAAGCCCCCATGAACAGCCACTCCAGCCATCAGGAAGAACATACCTCCAAGCTCTTTTTCATGTGGCAGTCAGAGATCTAATGTAATGGAAAATTCTGGAGAGTGCCAACATGCAATGAAAATCAAGTATAAAACAAGGAGGATGAAGAAGGTTGAATACAAATGCATTACGTCCAACAATGAAAATATAACAATGAAGACTGTTGAAATTGTTTTGGGAAATTGGGGGGAATGGGCAGGCAGAGTGTAGAGGAAGTGAGATAGATTGGGATACGGTATAAAGGTGTATAGAAATGCCACAATAAAATCTCTCCCCATATAACTAATGTATGCTAATTAAAAAAAATCAAACACAAAGCTCTGAATGGCCTGTCAGCTCAGCCAACATAATGAATTTGTCACTAACATCTTACAATACCACAAATTGTTGAAGCTCATATATTCTTTAACATGTGGTATCCTTCAGCATTCTTAGCCATGAAAGAGTATGAGAAAGTGGAATGGATTCTGTGTGGTCAAAAGGAGCTTTGCACAATTTTAGAAAGGACCAAGGTAAATCTTTTTTAGCTAGAAGAAATAGCAGCATAAACAATATAAAAAATATTACAAGATTGTGAGAAGGAAGTGTGGCCCTTCTCTATCAGCTGGAAGCAGCCAGTAATTTCTTGATCTAATTTCTCTCCTAAGACCTAATTATGGTTATCATATCAGCTCTGTCTTAAAACAGCCTCCCATAAAAAGGGAAGACAACTCTTTCAATGCCAAGTCTAGTAAATAGTGCAGAGGCCAGAGACACTGTCATGCTTAATTTTACAGTAATTTATGATCCTTTGATGTTCCCTGTTGTGCTCAATGAAAACCTAGCCTAAATATTTTTAAATAAAATGATTTTTCTCTTCTAATGTTTCCTTTAACTTGCTTATAAGTTAATCTATTTAAAAAAATATAACACCTTTTCTAAGGTAGCAAAAACAGAATCTGACAGCTTAAGGTAGTGATGATAGATCATGGTAAATTGATTCACAAAGACTGAAAATATTTAAATATGCTCTACTGACTGGTTACAGCCAGATAAAATTATTTAAGTTTGAAGACTAATACTTTATGGAAAACTTTTAAAAATTAAAAATACTGCTGGGTGTAATCCTGTAATGCTGTAATCCCAGCATTTGGGAGGCTGAGGTAGGTGGATATCAAGTTTTAGGTCAGCCTGGCAGACATAGCAAGATGCTATCCAAAAACCTCAAAAAAAAAAAAAAAACCCACAAAAAAATCAACAACACCTTAAAGTAGTTTAAAAAACTCAAAACATTAAAAATTAAAAATGGTAAGAAAGCATCTATTGGCATGTTTGGCATGTTTGAATAAGACTGTAATAGGCTGAGGCCTAGGTTAAAATAACAATTTCTAATGTCAATGCCTTAAAACATGGTCATGGGGCTTAGAAACCATACTAAACAGTCTTCTAAAAGTCTTTTATGGAATTCTCCCCTCCCTCACTCTCTCTCTCTCCTCTGCCATCTCCCCTTATCTTGCCCCAAATCTCCCCCAGACCCCCTAACTCAAAGTAAAAGTTTCTAAAAATGTGTTGGTCCACTATCATCTTTGAAACTTTTGTTTCATCTGCATACTACTGATTGAATATTTATTTATTTATTTATTGTGGGTCATGGGGCCTGAACTCTGGGCCTGGCCACTGTCCCTCAGCTCTTCAGATCAAGGCTAGGGCTCTACCGCTTGAGCCACAGCGCCACTTCTGGCTTTTTTTCTGCTTATATAGTGCTGAGGAATGGAACCCAGGGCCTCATGCATGCAAGGTAAGCACTCTACCACTGAGCCACCCTCCCAGCCTGAATATTTATTTTCTTAACCTGTAACTGACTCCTTTTTCCTTTTCTTTCTTTATGTGTTGATTAATTGTGGTGCTGGGGATGAAACCTAGGGCCCTTGACATGCCAGGCAAGTGCTCTACCATCAAAGTACATCCTTAGTCCCGACTCCTTTTTAAATTTAGGTCATGTCACAAGCAAGGCAACACTACAAATATTTCATCATTTAACTATTTTTTAAAAAGTCTGCTATCATCCAGTTCAAATAATCCTGTATCCCTCCATCGGTATGTATGTCTCCCTTGAAGAAGGCTGTTAAGAGTTTCATCAGGGGCTAGGGATATAGCTCAGTGGTAGAGCACAGACAGACAGAAAGATACATTGATGGGTGGGTGGAGAGAGAGGAGGGGGGGAGAGGTGATGGTTGATAACCTGCAATCCCAGCACTTGGGTGGCTGAGATAGGAGAATCGTGAGTTAAAAGCCAGACTGGGCTACATAGTGAGTTTAAGCTGCCCCACCTTAGCTGCCTAGCAAAATCTTGTTTAAATTAACCCTTGGAAAACACAAACAAATGAAGTGAGTTTAGACAGCAGTGTCATTAAGGCAAATATGCCTAGACTTTCCTCTGGGGACTGTGGGCTGAAAGGGTCCTTAAGCACCTGTGACTCAGATCTAAGTCCCTTGTCACAAAATTTCCTGCTTTTCAATATTACCACAGCCCTCTAAGAGGTAGGGGACGGGGGCGGGGGGGGGGGGGGGGGCGCGGGAAGGACTTCTCTCCACCTGGATGGGAGGCCTTTTTCTTTCACAGAACTAGAGGGAGATCTCAGAACCTCCTAGTACTATTGCCACAAAGTATAAGACAACTTCCTCCCCACCTCAAACCAGAACCTTCTACAATTAAACTTTTTCTCCTTTCCTGATTTCCTGAGGGACTAAAAAGGTACAACTCTATTTGTTGAAGGAACTGATTATTTTTCCCTGAGACCTATTTTCACTTCATGTAGATACTTACTTTCTGCCCCAACATTCCAGGAAGTCCTGGGAAACCCTGTGAATAGAGCAACAAATATTGTGACTACCTCTAAAATAACCCTTGGAAGGACTATGGCTGACCAAGATCATCCATTTTTAAGATGGAGGCCCATCAGTCCATCTAGTCACAGATAGGGTGAACAAGGGCCACCACTTTCATTGTAGTTTATTATTTCTATGGATTGGCCATTACCTTTTCTCCTTTGGGACCCAAGTCACCCGGTGCACCTCTAGATCCCTAGGAGGAAACCAGAGAGTCAATGAATTAATATTATGGGAAGGAGCAGGAATTGGAACAATTCAAACTCCAAAGCTCTAGGCCAACACACTCATTTTACAGACAATGATAGACTCAGAGATGTTAGATGGCTTGCCTGGAAAAGGAATGCTTTGTGATCTACCTTCTGTTTGGAACCCAAAGACCTCTTGCATTAAAGGCCAACTCACAGAACATTCTTGGTCCCAGATCTTCCCTTAACCCCTTCAAAATGTGCCCCCATGTTCTTTTTGGTATTGGTTTTGCTTTGACTAATGAGACAGTGTATGGCAGAAGCTTGGTCTAAGGACACACGTGTACCCATTCCTTTAGCAATCACATTCAAACTGAGTTCATTCTCAGTTTCATTTGCTCAGCTACTCCTTGTGCAGGGCCTCTGCTTCCATAAAAAACTTCTCCCTACTCTTATTGACCTGCCTCAGGAAGCCCTTATTTCTCCTTAAACTCATGTATGGAGGACAGGAAGAGCTAGAATGGCTGTAATTCAGACAAGGTTATAGAATATCATCAGAAATAAACACTGACCTTTTCCCCTCTGGATCCAGGGTAGCCCTGAAAGAAAGCAGAAGGCACATTTAAAATGAGTCTTGTAGGACCTTAAGGTATGGTGCAAAAATGGAAGGAAACTGTGAGAGTATGGCTGAGTTATCTCCACATTGTACTGTGAGTTATAGTGGGGTTGCAGCAGTAAACAGATATCCCAAAAGGTTTTGTTTCTATAGGATCCCATAAAGACCTGAAAAAATGTTCCCAGCTGTTGTCCAGGGGCTTGACCTTTTCAGTCCAAGAGAGAGAAGTGATAGTATCTTTATGTTCCACATCTCAGGGCATAGTATCTGTGGACATTCTTCACAACTCAGCCCTCCTCATCTTTGTAGACATCTGCTCCACAGCCTTAGTGAGAAGACCTAGGAATGCCCATCTGGACCCCACACTGACCTTTGAGCCCATTGGTCCTCTTGACCCTGGCAAGCCCATCATACCCAGGTCACCTTTTTCACCCTGTGGGAATTAAAAGAAGGAAAAAATCCATAGTGACATTTCTTAGAGAAGCTGAGTAAGGAGAGTATTGGCTAAGACTGAGATGGAACCAGGGATATTAGGGCAGCATGTGAATTTGATGTCCTCAAATGTCCCCTGCCCCATCCCAGGAGCCCAAGATTCCATACTCTAATTGTCTGATATTTGAGATTAAATATAAAATGAAAATGCCCAAAGTACAGCAGATCTCCGAACTAGATACTCACTAAGATGTTGTAAATGGTGATACTGGATCTTTTTCTAGAAAAGGACAGGGAGGGGAAAGGAGAAGCATGGAGGTGCTGACACACACAAAACTCTTTAACTGATTTGCATAGAGAGGCCCGTTAAGATATCTCAACAAACTAGCATCCCAGGTTTGCAGCCAAGGAGGGTGAATGTGAACATCATTGGCTAAAACTCTGTTGCCCCTTGGAATGGTTTGCAATTGGATTTATTTATTTATTTATTTATTTTTGTCGGTCATGGGGCTTGAACTCTGGGCCTGAGCCCTGTCCCTGTGCTTTTCAGCTCAAGGCGAGCGCTCTACCTCTTGAGCCATAGTGCCACTTCCGGTTTTCTAGTGGTTTTTTGGAGATCAGAGTCTCACGGACTTTTCTACCTGGGCTACCTAGCTACCTGAGTAGCTAGGATTACAGGCGTGAGCCACTGGTGCCCAGCTTGCAGTTGGAAATTCTATCATCCTCTCTACCAAAAAACTTTATACTGGGGCTAACAAGTAGAAATACTACATGAACCACATAGTGAATTTAAAGCAATTTTCAAGGTCACTATAAAACTAAGCAAGCAGAATTTTAGTAAGATATTTTATTTAATCTAAACTAGCTTATGAATATAAAACTTAGTAGTGAAATATTATACATTGTTTTTTCATAAAAATATTTGAAATCTGTTGCACACTTTACATTTAAGGAACATCTCAATACAGGAGTTAAATTTTCATTCAAAAGATTAGTTTTTTCAGTACTGGAATTTGAACTCAAGGCCATGTACTTGCTAGGCTGATAGTCCAGCCATATCTCCAGCCCTGCTTTTTGTTGGTTATTTGGGAGATGCATTCTAGTGGACTTTTCTGACTGAGCTGGACTCAAAACATAATCCTCCAGCTGGGCACTGGTGACTCACGCTTTTAATCCTAGCTACTCAGAAGGATGAAATCTGAGGATTGTGATTCAAAGTCAAACCAGGGAGCAAAGTCTGTGAGACTCTCATCTCCAATTAATCACCATAAATCCAGAAGTAGAACTATAGCTCAAAGTGGTAGAACATTAGTCTTGAGCAAAAGTGCTCAGGGAGAGTGCCCAAGCCCTGAGTTCAAGCCCCACAACCAACAAAACCCACCAGCACCACTACAACCAACAGCAAACCCTCATAATCCTCCAGATCTTAGCCTTCTGAGTAGCTAGGACTACAAGCATCAGCCATTGATACCAGGCTCCATTCAAAAGACTTGCTCTGTATTTAAATTTCATAAAATTGATAGCTGAAAATGTGGAGTCACACCTTCAAATTGTTATAAACATAACTGAAAGTTTTTAACTGAACCAGTAAAGAATTTGAAATTCAGCTTGGATGAACAAAAATTAAAAATTTTGTTCCTTAGTTCCACTAGTCACATTTCAAGGGTTCAATAGCCACATATGAATGCTGCATTGGACAACTTGATGTTTTATAGTAGATTCTTGAAAGAAATATCCTTGTGACTTTTTCTAAGAAAATCGGGGGTGGGAGGGGGGAACAATTTTCTACTTCCACAATCCATCCAGTAAGCAAATTGGAGCAGTTGGTGACATTCACCCTGCCTTCTCCTGACTTCCACAGGAAAATTTCTAATCGTGACCTCTTTTCTGTAGTCTGTGAGCAACAATGAGAGGAATGTAAACAGAGGCAGGAATGCAGACATGCTTGTTTTCCATACCTTAGGATTTCATCTGCATCTGATGATTCCTCTCTCTCATCATAAGATTGCCAGCCAGACATCCTCCACCTACTGCCAAGTCAGCATGGCTGGCAAGAGCTATCTAGACACAATCTCCTTTGGACCATCTCAGGAAACCCCAGGAGAACATGGTAATGCTCCATGTTCACAGTGGAGTTCCCAGCAGGGTCCCTGGGAAAGCAGAGAGCAGTCCTCGTTTTTCCTTCTCCAGGAGAGAGTCATGGCACTGACCAAGATCCACAGGCCAAGTGAAGGAGCAAGCGTTTGGTGAACTGTGGACAGTTCTCCAGCTCTCTTGGGTGACTATAAGCCTAGGGAGTCGCCATCTTCCTCACTCTCGTTCAGACATCATATGAGCCCCAAATACACATCACACTTACCCTGGGTCCTTCAGGACCTGGCCAGCCAGTGGGCCCACGCATGCCAGGAACACCTGGGGGACCAGGTCTACCCTTCAAAAATCAAGAACAAAGGTCAGAACAACTGGACACGCTATCCTTCTTCCAAGAATATCTAGGGCTCAGATATCAGTATGGGAGTTTCTAAGCATGGCCCCCAGTCCTGGTGTACCCATACTCTAAAGACCAGGGACCTAAAAGCTTGAAACACTCAGGTGTAAGTTAAATCCCTAGTGTCACATAGTATCATCTAACAAGGTCCGATTGTACTCCAGAGGTAGGGAAGAGTGGGGAAAGGATTTTGTTAGGGGGGGGAGGGGCTTGAACTCTGGGCCTGGGCACTGGCCGTCAGCTCTTCAGCTCAAGGCAAGCACTCTACCACTTGAGTCACAGTGCCACTTCTGGTTTTCTGGTGGTTTATCAGAGATGAGAGTCTCACAGATCTTTCCTGCCCTGGCTGGCTTTGAGCCGTGATCCTCAGATCTCAGCCTCCTGAGTAGCTAGTTATAGGCGTGAGCCACCGGTGCCCGGCTGGGGAAAGGATTCTAAACTTGTGGATTTTTTTCCAATCTTTATCACCTCCACTCCCTAATAATCTGAATGTCCCCTCTGTTCCAGCATATTCTCCACAAGGATGTGCTGTTGAATGAGAGGATTAGGGGTGGGGAGCAGTAGTAGATGCTGTTGGTAGTCTTTTGAGATCTGTTTGCAGGCTTAGCATAATCATTTCCAGTAGCTACCTTCCTAACTACTCACAATGCACTCAGCCACCTGCAACTATGGAGTTTGTCTTTAGGCATTGGAGCTGCCCAGTAATTTGTGTACCACCTCTTCCAATAACCAATAGTCCAGATCCCTCACCTCAATACAAATAACTGTCAAGCAATGCACTCCAGAGCTCCCGCAGGGATTGGGTAAAGCCTGGATTTCTCCTTTACAACATACCCTTACTTGGCTTCTCCTATTCTCTATAGACCCCCTTCATAGCTTGTGCATGTCTTTGCTTCTAGGGAACCAAATATGAGCCAAGGGGACTTTGGAAGAGCAAGTCTTGTCACATAGAATGGGAGCATGGATTAGGGAGTCTTTTGAATCCATTAGCTAATTTTACAGATTTCAAGGGCTTAGCAAAGGGCTCAAAGATGCCAAATGCTGGTGAGTGTACTAGTTTCTGCTCTTGGTAGACATAACTAATCAATATGGCCTTTGCTCTGTGCATGGGGACCACCCAAGAATCCTTTCCAGTCCAGCACTGCAGATGGTCACTGTGCTGTGTTTGGAGATGTCATTTGTACCTTTCAAAGGTCTGTTTAAGGCTTTAAGTCTGTTTAAGGTTAATATTGAAACAATTTGAATACAGTATTTAGCCAGGAATATAGTAATTTATATTTTCAGTTATCTTTCTCCGCCAAAGTTTTGCATTTCCTTTCATCACAAGGTCTAAATGTTCAGGGCTAGTACCCACTGACCATAGCCAGTCAAATAGACTTCTGTTTTACTCCCTTTGACACTAATGGAAGTCTTGATAACACGTTAGGTTCACCCAGAGTCCCTATGACCTTGAATAACTCTCATTTATTTCACCTGGGCCAAAATGCAAATGCCATCTGGCACTTTTAGTTTAGTCAAATGACAGTGAGAGTCATTTTGTGTCACTGATTGGGGTCTTGGAGGGTGGGTGGCAGGATGAGGTGCTCTGAGACTGCGGAAGTCTGAATGCAGAGTCTATATCCAGATCAAAGGGTGGGTACCAACATTGTCCATCTAGATACTGGTGGTAATAGAAGAGCTTTGCTGGTGCCTACCGGGAGTACACACACACTCATACGCACATGAAGCACAGATGCTCATGAGAGGCTGACAGAACAGCATGAACCATACCTTCCTTCCTGGTCGGCCAAGCTCCCCCTGTAGATGGAGAAGACAGGTAAGCAGAGGCTGCTTTGGGAGAGAAGTTCTGGAAGCAGAAGGCTTGGTAGAGCTGGTAATTAGGCATAGCTATGGCTCAGTCAGTTGGTCAGTCACTTAGCGGGTCACAGCATCCATGCTGTGCCAGTAGGCTAAGTCAGAATCTGCCAGTAGCATCCCACACTGCAGTAGCAGCCAATCCTCAGGGGACTCATCTTCACGCACTACAACAAAATACTGCCAGTGGCACCCCCACAAACTAAGCTGGGATGACCAAGGAGATGTGGGTTAAAGAAAGGAGGGATTCATACCTTTTCTCCTTTTGGTCCTGTCTTGCCAGGAAGCCCCGGTGGACCCTACACAATCAAGATAAGAAATGAAGAATATACCAAACCAAGGTAGGACTGCTGGGGTGGGAGGGAGGGGGCAAGGAGCACTGGGCCCTTACCCAACAGTCTCATTGTCTGAGTGGATGCCGGGCCTCAGGAACCCCCTACAGGAGCCTGTCTGTCCTCCACCCCCCTCTCTTCTCGGTTATGTTTCTCCTCCATAGTTTTCTTGGCACTGTGTTTCCACTGGCACCATGGCTTCAAGGTTTACACATCCTCTCTCTCGACTTTGGCTTTCTTCCTGGAGCCTTTTGACTGCACTCAACCTCCAGAGTACTTGATAAGAGCAAGTAAAGAGTCTTAAAGAAATCCTAGCTGCTGAAAATGCAATGTTCCACTACGTCAAGCATCTTTTCAGCGATCTTACCACACTTCCATGAGGCCCTGACTAGAGTGGAGCTGTTTTTCACATAACAGCAGCTGGCTTAGAAATTCCTATGGCTGATCTGTGGGTACCAGGTACCAAATAGTTCTGTCCTTCCTGCTTCTAACAACAAAGAGCTGCTTTTTTTTCTCCTCCTCCTCCTCCTCTTCCTCTTCTTCTTCTTCCTCCTTCTTTACCTCCTCCAGCTATAACGTGCAGAGAATTCATTTGCTCCACAGGTTGTTCAATGTTAAAATGAAGGCTCTGATTGTATGGGGTAGGAGAGCGTGGGGATTCTACATGTCTAATGAGCTTTCATATAATACCAATGTTGCAGTTCCAGGGGTGTCTCTTTGAGTACCCATACCATTCCTATGGTTCCAAGAGAACCAAAATGGCTGCCCAGACCCCACACCTGGGCAGCTCAGCCTCCATGTTACTGAAAGGGGCTAGAAATATGCAAATGTGATGACACAACTGCTGGAGATTTTGTTTGTTGGTGATGCTCAGGCATCCACTGGGCTGTCTCCAGTAGACAGCTATTCTGAGGTGAGCAGAGCTTCCCCTTTCTTCCAAAAGCTCTGTGGACTCACCGCAGTAAACTGCTGCGAGTGGGACAATAGAAACTTGCTGTACATGATTTCCCTCTTGCCTTTCTGCAGACTTCCTTGCCCCTCTGTGGCAGCCAACTCAGCGTTCAAAGTCCTGTTCTACTTATGGCATGCAATAGATGTTTATGGAAAATACAAGATAGTCCATTTCTTGTGTAGACTACGAAGACAGTGAGCAGGATAGACCCTTTTCCCATAAACCGGAGGTCAGTAAACTTGTTCTACTCAAGGCCAGAGAGCAGATACCTTAGACTTTTGTTGTTTTGAAACAGAGTCTTGATACATAGCCATGTCTTGAGCTCATGAGCCTCCTGCCCCTGCCCCTCAAGTGATGGGATTACAGGTGTACATACAGGTGTGCACTATCATGGCCAGCTGTATCTTAGGCTTCAAGGGCCACTCTAGTCTCTGAGAATTACTCATCTCTACCCTGGTAGCCCATAAACATCCACAGACAATAAAACTGTAGTTAGAAAAACAGGCTGTGGCTGGATTTGATTCTTGGGTTATACTTTGCCATAGGTAAAAAAAAAAATCTGAGGGAAGAACTTTCCAAACAGGACTTGGAACAGGACTTAGAACTTTCCAAACAACAGGTGCCACAAGTACATAGACCCTAAGATTAAAATAAGCTTCGTATGTAAAGACCAAGGGACAGTCACTAATGGCTTATTTGAGTGGACAGTGGAGGAAGAGTAAGCTGGTGGGAGAATACAGGCCAGAGTCTCCTCCATGGGGCCTTGCCATAGTCTTCCAGTGATAGGAAGTTTACTTAGCTGAGTGATAGCTTCTATGCCCCCAGTTGGAGAAGGCACTTGGGGAGCTGCCTGATCCTTGCACCCTCTTTGACCTTCCTGAGGAAGACCCAGAGCCTGAGCCAGATGGAGTTTCTCTCCGAGGCAAGCCAGAGAGCTGGGTGTCTGAGATGAAGTCTCTTGATTGTCTAGAAAGTAGTTTCTCTTGTAGTGTAGCTGCTCCTCACTCTTCTCTTTGCCTTTGGTGGAGAAGGCCAGTCCTGTTACATCACAATGTTGAAGCCCAGAGGAGCTCAGGGTAGCTAGTTCCTCTTACTTCTACTTTTCTGTACTCAATGTAGTCACCTCTGGTCCACAGATGGGGTTGATGGTTACATTAGGTACATTACCATCAAGTTTTTGATACTTAGAATGATAACTACTCTTATCTCCTTTGATTCACATCCCCAAATCCAGTATGACAGGACAACCCTGGATTGCCATAGCTGGGAGTCCAGAATTTACCCAGAAGAGAACCTGTGCTCTCTATGAGTAAACTAGAGCAGAAAAAATAGCTCCACACCACAATGAGAGGGATAGATACCCAGAGGCTCTGCCCAATGAACCTCCTTGCTCTGAACAGAATACAGCAATCCCAGATCCCTCAGAGCACACGCACCTGGGGGCCAGGTGGCCCAGGAGAGCCATGTGAGCCTTGCATGCATGGGGATGGTGTGGTCTCGAGTTCCAGGAGGAGATTCTTCACGTCTGGGGAGAGAAGCTTCAGTGCAAAGCAACATGTGTTATAAGTCAGACTCAGGGGCCTTGGAAGAGGAAGGGTCACCTCTCTGCTCTAGGGTCAGTGCCAAGTCTAGCAATTCCCCTCATACCATTTTCTTGAGAAGATGACCTCTGGCCATTAGTTTCTGTTCTCTACTCTTCTCTTGAGACCTACCTGGCTTGAATGAGTTACCAAGATAAAATAGCCCCATTGGATGGAGTTAGGAAGTTTATGTCAGGGGCCTTTGTCCAATATCTTGGACAGCAGTAGCTAATAGACATACAAGCCAAGATGAGAGTTTTAAATTTTCTTGTAGCCACATTTCTACCTTCTAAAAAGGTAAAAAGAAATAAGTAAAATTAACCCAGTATATCTCAAATATGATCATTTCAACATAAATTCATCATAAAAATTACTGAGACATTTTGTATTCTTCTTTTTAAACTCCAGCATATATTTAAATTCATTTCATTTTGAAGTAGCCACACTGAAAGGACTCAATAGGTCACATATGGCCAGTGACTATGGTATTAGACAGTACAGATCTAAGACTTTCCAGAAAAACCTGAGCATTCCAAGGCCCTAAAATACCTTGACCTGTAGTCCTGTAGGTCCTGAACCCTGCTCTTTTCCTTGTCTTTTTCTCTTTTCCCATAGTATTTCCTTTCACACTTCAATGTGGTGACAGAGGACTCTTTTCTATATCTCATTGTCTACATAAGATATGGGCTACGAAGGGGAATTTCCTTTTTTTCTTGGTCATGTAATATTTGCACATATTTATGGGTTATAGTATGATAATGATACAATTGTTTTATGTGTGTTGGTTCTGGGACTTGAACTCAAGGAACTGGCACTGTCCATGGGCTCCTTTTGCTCAAGGATAGTGCTCTAACACTTGAACCACAGCTCTGCTTCTGGCTTTTTTTTTTTTTTTAGTAATTTATTGAAGATAAGAGTCTCACCTGGGCTGGCTTCAAACTACAATCCTCAGATCTCAGCCTCTTGAGTAGTTAGAATTACAGGTGTGAGCCACTGGTGCTTGGCTAATAGAAGCTTTTAATGTACAGAGGTCAGATCAGGATAATTAGAACTTCTGTATCTCAAATATTTATCAGTTCTACATGTTCATGATATTTGGGCTCTTATTTTCTAGTAGTTTTGAAATATATCCTAATTTCTACAGACTATCGTTACCCTACTGTACTTCAGGACATAGAAGGAATTTTCCTAGCTAACTATTTTGGCATCTGTTATTTAACCTCCTTCTATGTTCCCCTCTCCATTTCTATCTCCAAGTCCCCATTTTTACCTCCATTTCCCTGATCTCCCCTCCACCCTAGGGAATTTATAAATACTTGAGGAGAAGAAAAAAGAAAGGAGGATTCCATATCTGAACAGCTGATGGGAACTCAGAAAGTCATAAATTCTCTTCAGTATTTCAAAAACATGAGGCCCTTGGCCAAATCCAATCTCCAGCTAGAAGACTCTCTCTCTTTATGGTAGTGGAAGAATGGGTAGATTTGTTCCAGAAGCTACCAAATGTCCACTCCAGAACTCAGCCTCAGAGTGAGAGTGAAGAGTTGACCCCCTCAGATGAGATTCTGGAGGTGGCTAGGGTGGACATTGAGAAGCTGTCACAAGTCACAAGTACTCACTGGATTTCGGCCTCCTCTGAAGAATGGTGGTGGGAACAGTGGGGGCGGAGGGGGGGTCAGCAGGCAGCATGCTTTGTGGCTGCCCCGTTTCTTCTGATCCAGGCTAGGAAGAGCTGTTCAGAGAAAACTGCTATTTGTTAGCAGAGGGCTAGGGTCTCTACTATGCCCACTATGCAACCCCAGACCTCCAAATCCAGTTTCTAACCTGCTTGAAATGTTTGCTGCTTTATACAGCCCTCTTTGTTTCTGCTGAAGTAGGGTGGCACGGACACTGTGTGCATCATAAGGTCCAGCTCCCTTTCATCAGAGATCAACTTCCTACTTTGTAGATATGACAAGGAATACCAAATTCAGACAAGTTCGCAATGCAACCCCAGTAGTTGGTGTGGGGGGAGGGTATTTGTAAATAACTTTGGTACTGTCCTTATGGGGAGTTATTTGGATGAGGAGACAACCAGAGGGGGAGGTAATATTAATACATTCCAGGGTACTCAGATTCATGATTTAAAAGAGACTCTAGCTGAGCCCATGCACTTATAATCTTAGCTTCTCAGGAGGCTGAGCTCTGGATGACTGTAGTTCAGAGTCAGTTCAGGCAGAAAAGTCCATGAGATTCCATGTTCCCAAATCACCAGCAAAAAGCATGCTTGGAAGCATGGCTCAAGTAGTAGAGCACTAGCTGAGCAAGCACACTGAGCAAGAATGAGGCTCTAAGTTCAAAGACCAATACTATAAAAGAAACAAAAAAGCCAGCCAAGTAAACCAAAAAAAAACCCATCAACAGATTCTATGTACACATCCAAGTATCACCCATTCCACTAGAGTGTCCCAGTTTCATGACTCAGTACACAAGTGGCTAATCTCAAGTGTGAGGAGCTGAAAGGTGGGCAAAAACCATTATATCTTGATTACATCTACCTACATTCAATTGTCTTGTATACTCAATGCAGAAGCATGCCGTACGCAAGAGCACACATCACAAATTACAGATTCATAGGCTACTACACATGGAACACAATGCAGGTATGCATCTTGCTGATGTTTGAATCTGATAGAAATGGAATCAGATTATATGATTTCTTATGATTGGCTGTTCTTGCTCAACAGTGTTTATGAGGTCAGCCAGCTTACTATGTGTGTTGCTAGAGTTCTGGTGTGTGGCTATACCACAAGCTATACATTCTGGTGACCATAGATGCTGTTCATGGAGTGACACCACTGCACTCAGCAGAATGGCTAAAACAAGGACAGAGAATGACAAATATGGCAAAGAGAACAACCAGAGCAGGAGAGGGAGCTGGCATCCAAAGCTTTTGGGAAAATGCTTGGTATTTTCTATGAAAGCTGAACATAGACATACACTACACCTCAGGAATTTAATTCCCAGGCATTTATTAGTGGATAGGTGGGAGAATTTTCACCAAAACATGTACTAGAAAGTTCATAGTAGCAATATCCATAGTTGCTAAAAGACAATTTTTTAGCTCCCAAGTTTGACTTCATGACAAGGAATTCATTAATAAACTCTGTGAACTCACATTCTGTCCACCATGTGCCTCTCAGTCCTTATCAACAGGAAGTTTCTCTTCATTTCCAAGGCCAAGGTTGTGTGGACTTGCTACATGCCTGGTTTTTTGTTGTAGTTGTTTTGAGTCTTAATATATAGGCAACCTTGGCCTGAACTCGTGATCCTCTTACCTCAATCTCTTCAGTGCTGGGATTATAGGCATGTCTTACCAGGCCCAATAACTGCTATGTTTTCCTGTGGATTTGTCCCCATGTTAACTCTTCTTCAGAGGTTGAAGCTATTTCCTTTCTCTCTGACAAAACTGACAGGGATCAGGGTTGTTGTTGTTGTTGTTGTTGTTTTGGGGGGTTGCTTTTTTTGTGTGCCAGTAGTAGGGCTTGAATTCTGGGCCTGGCTACTATCCTTTAGCTCTTTTGCTCAAGGCTGGCTCAGCAGTGTTTGTGGGGTCATCCAGCTGTTGTGTGGAAGCTCCACTTCCGGAGCTTTAATTGCAGTTAATTGCAGTGTCTCATGGACTTTCCTGCTGGGCCTGGCTTAGAATCGTGAACCTCAGATCTCAGCCTCCTCAGCAGCTAGGATTATAAGTGTGAGCTGCTTGAGGCTGGCTGTCAGGGACCAATTTTGATCTCCAGAATCTAAGAGACACTAACAGACACATAGATGTTTGCTGAATGCATAGTATTAATAGCAAACATTTATTGCATTTGAGGTACCATTTAGGTGCATTGCACATGTAAACAGGTTCCTAACTGCAATCCTGGGAACTAAGCACTATAGTTGTCATCATCCCATTTTACAAATCAGTTAATGGAGACAGTGCATCAAGAAATTTTCCCAAAGTCACACAACCAGTTAAGTGACTGAGTCCAGACTCGAACCCAGGCAGTGTGGCTCAAGTCCTTTCTCTTCAATGCTACACCATCACTACGTATGGGTGTAGCCATAATGAGGGTCAGGACTTAAGAAGGAGGCAAGGGACTCCTATAACAATAGCCAGAGACTTTTAATTAGTGTCCTCTAAAGACCACTAGGAACACACCTGAGGTTAAATCAAGTTGGGTTCATTGATTCATTGCAATAAGAGCAAATATACACAGGAGGAACCAGGAGGAAACTCAGAAAGAGAGCATTAAGAGAGGATTTCTTCTAGGATTCAGCTCTTTTAGGTGGTTATACGGAAGACTTGAATGAAGCAAAGTCTGGCTTCATCCTGGATTGGATGCTGTCAGGAAGCAAGAGCTCATCTATGATTGAGTAGCTTAATTCTTATGAGCAGAGGAAAAAGAAACTGCCATTTTGTGGTTAGACATTGACTTTGTATTGTGTCCGTGTTCAGCTATGACTATGGAATGCTCTTGCTTTTGTCCTGACCCATTATTAAGGTCACAGAGTGGCCTTGTGTAGGCTAGGGTCCTGTGGAATGGGTAACGTCCTACTGGGGATACCAGTATCAGGCCACCTCAAGCTGTCAGCTGCTGTCCTCTTTAAGTGATAAAATAATAGAGCAACATTGTTGTAGAACTTGATATAAATGTCAGTTCTTCCCAGAAGCCAAGAGTGGGCAGCCTCAGCGACTCCACCCTAACTAGGGCAGGTGGGCAGGGCTGATAGACACACATTATCCCCCAGCTGTAGTTTCTCCTTTGTCTCCTTTTGTCTCAGCAGAGGCTGCAGCTTTCCACAAAGCTCCTCCTGGCCAGGAACACCTGGGAAGCTAGCACTCCACATGGCCAATTCGTATTCATCACCATTTATTTTTCCAGACCATATATGGCCTTCAAGGCATCCTTTCACCCAACACCCTGTATGGCTTCCACTGGTGACAGATCCTGTATCATTTAAGGCAATCACTTCTTGTATTTCTTCCTGGAAACTCGTGTTTCTTCTCCTGAAACTGGAGACCTCTTTGGTGAACGTAAATTATCAGTTGCTTTTCCTGCCAAGGCATCTGCATTGTTCACCACTCCCTTCCTTCTCTTCCCTCTTCACCCCTTTCATTTCCAGCAGGTGGAGGCCATCCATTTCTGCCCCTCCCCCAACTCCCAGGAGCTGTTTGTTTTTAGCAGTCTGGTTTATTTACAGCTAATTCCAGCTCAGAATATTTCCATCAGGTGGACGAGTGTGAGGACAGCTTCCCCTCTCCACCCTCCCTGTCAGCTAAGCTAGGACTTCACATGTCTATTTTAGTGCCATTGAATGGTCTGTGGATCTGTCTTAGGCCTGTGCTGTCTCTGATGGAATCGTGTCTGAGCTCAGGGTCCAGTCTGGAACAGCCCCAGAAGGCTCTGCTGTAATGGAAACAATCGTGTGTGTAGTACATGAAGCTTGCAGAGACCTGGTATGCCACGTGCATGGCTCTGTCCCAAGCAGCTACCCTGGCAATGCCAGCTATTAGAGGATTCTAGGACCGCTGCCCTTACTTAAAGACACAAAACTGTTTAATGTGTGCCTGCTGCATTGCCAAAGCAGAAGTGATTGTCTAATGCAGGCTTTTGGCAAGTGTTTGTCTAGGGCTTTCCTCCATTGTTCACACTGCTTTTACCCTCTGGACAAAAATAATCAGAAAGATGTCTTTCTCCTGTTTCATTTCAAGAAACAGAGGCACATCCTTGGAAAGTGATACACAGCAGCAAACTCTTGGAAATATAGGAAGGACTTGCATCAAAGCCTGGGGCTTACGTTGTGGCTATGATGTGACAGCACAAGTCCCTTTTCAACCTGAGACTCGGTTTCCTCATCTGTACCACCCGAAGGTTAGTTCATACCATAGATAAAGTCCCTTTTAAAGATGACCACAATCACCATGGTGTCCATCCTCATCTCCCCATTCTGAAGAGAAGCCCACCCATCCACAGCCCATGAGGGATACTTTTTCCATTTCTACCTCCTGAACCAAGAAGCTCAAAGCAAGATAATACGTAACTTTTTTTTTTCCAGTACTGGGGTTTGAACTCAGGGCCTTGCACTTGCTAGACACACATCCTACCACTTGAGCCATTTACTAGTTCCAAAGACCATAATACATCATCGGAATCCACCAGAGGGAAGGAGTGACAGAAGGCATCTTGCCTTAGGAAGCTGGGAAAATGACAGGTGTAGCACAGACTAATGACTGCACCTGGCTGCTCAGTTGGTAGACTATTCCAGTTTTTCCCTCTTCTCTTTGTGTTGGGGCCTCCCCAGTCTGCTGGAACTGGTGCTGTGAGGCTGAGGAGGACTGCTGGTGAAGAGCATCCCCTCCATGGTGTCACTGAGTGCTCCCACAGGGGACAGATGGCCCTGCAGTGACAGTCACACATTGAGCTGCAATTTGCCCAACGTTTTTCACGATTCATGGGTTCCAGAGAAGGTTGCCCCCAGCTCCCAAACTTTCCTCCAACTCCCATATACAAACCACACAAGCCTTGAAAAAAGAATTCTGAAAAGTTGAAGAATTTGGACTTCGCTGATATAAGTTCACTTGGTTGTGCCTCGCACCTGAGTGGGTATGGGTGGGGGCGGGGGAGAGGGGGACAAGTCAGGACACACTACAGAGAAAATGGTCTGGTGCCTACTGTTCCTGAGCCATATCACCCAAGCCAGTTG